TAGAGCTCGTTACGAATGGTTGAATTTGAGATTGCAAGATTTTAAATCTGTTAGTGAATATAACTCAGCTATGTTTAAAATAACTTCTCAATTGAAATTATGTGGAGAAAATATTACTGATGCAGAAATGCTTGAAAATACATACTCCACTTTCCATGCTAATAATATTATCCTGCAGACACAATATAGAGAAAAAGGTTTTAAGAAATATTCTGAATTAATATCTTGTCTTCTTGTGGCTGAGCAAAATAACGAGTTGTTAATGAAAAATCATGAATCACGTCCTACTGGCTCTACTCCATTCCCTGAAGCGAATGTGACAACTCATAACGGGAAAGAAACTAAAAGCATATACCATTCCAGCAGTAGTGGTCGAGGTAAAGGTCGTGGTCGTGGCCAGTGGCGCGGCCGGGGTCGTGGACGTGGATATGGTAGAAGTCGTGGAGGTCATTTCACAAACTCACATTCCCACCAGAAGTGGGAACGTAGGGATGATAAAGAGAAAAGTGATACCAATATATGTTATCGTTGTGGAGGAAAAGGTCATTGGTCTCGGGTTTGTAGAACTCCAAAGCATCTTATTGAACTTTACCAAGAATCATTGAAGAAAGGAAAGAAAGTTGAGGCAAACCTTGTTCTTGAAGATGGTGAAGGTGATTTTAAGTTTGGAAATGCCAATCAATTTGATGTTGATGATTTCCTTACTTCCCCGGAAGGGAATAATTTTGATTTTGGCAGTACAATTCATTTAGAAGTTGCTGATTTCTTCACTGCCCCAGAAGGGAATAATTAAAATTATATTGTTTTATGTCAATTTTAAGTATTAGACTTATGTTTGCTTATTCTAGTGATTTACTTAAGTTTATTTCTTTCGTTGTAATAAGGATTTTTGCTTCATAAATTTATGAACTATTTGAGTGTTTTTATTGATTTATTTGTTTTATCATCTTTATTTTTATGCTTAATATTTTGACATGTATTTTATTTCATGAAGAACATGGATATTACTCAAGTTCAATTTGCTATGAATGGTGAAGAATTATGTCTTGCTGACAGTGCAACTACACATACAATACTTAAAAATAAAAAATATTTCTCTCATTTGATGATGAAAAGGATTAATGTTAGTACCATATCGGGTAGTAAAATATCATTGAGGGCTCCGAAAGAGCCACTATAAAATTGCCTTGGGGAACTGAATTAAAATAATTGATGCTTTATATTCCCCATTGTCTCAAAGAAATTTATTAAGTTTTAAGGATATTCGCAACAATGGTTATCATATTGAGACAATCAATGAAGAAAATAACGAATTCCTTCAAATCACAAATATAACTCAAGGCTCAAAACATGTTTTGGAGAAACTACCTACATTCTCTAGTGGTTTGTAATACACAAAAATCAATGCTATTGAAGCTCATGCTATAGTAAACCAGAAGTTTACTGATGATTTTGTTGTTTGTCATGACCGGTTAGGCCATCCCAGTTCAATAATGATGCGAAAAATAATTATGAATTCATGTGGACATTCTTTGAAGAGCCAGCAGATTCTTCATAATATTTTTCATGTGCTGCTTGCTCGGAAGGCAAGTTGATTATTCGCCCATCACCAGCTAAAATTAATTTTGAATCAGTTAGTTTTCTGGAACGTATACAAGGAGATATTTGTAGGCCCATACATCCCCCATGTGGACCATTTAGATATTTTATGGTTTTAATTGATGCATCAACTAGATGGTCACATGTGTCTTTGTTATCAACTCGTAACCTGGCGTTTGCGAGATTACTTTCCCAATTGATTAAGTTACGAGCACATTTTCCAGATACTCCCATTAAGACTATTCGGCTTGACAATGCTGGTGAATTTACATCTCAAGCTTTTAATTATTATTGCATGTCCATTGGGATAAATGTTGAACATCCTGTAGCACATGTTCATACACAAAACGGTCTAGCAGAGTCATTAATAAAACGTATTCAGTTAATTTCTAGACCATTGCTTATGAAATCCAATCTCCCAATTTTTGCTTGGAGACATGCTATATTACATGCAACATCACTAATTCGCATTAGGCCAACAAGTTATCACAAGTTCTCCCCATTACAATTGGTTTATGGTCAGGAACCAAATATTTCCCATCTAAGAATTTTTGGATGTGCGGTTTATGTTCCAATAACTCCACCACAACGCACTAAGGTGGGTCCTCAAAGGAGGTTGGGGATATATGTTGGTTTGAATCCCCGTTAATAATTAAATATCTTGAGCCTACAACAGGGGATTTATTTACGGCTCATTTTGCAGATTGTCATTTTAATGAGTCACTTTTCCCAACATTAGGGGGAGAAAAGAGAGAGTTGGAAAATGAAATTAAATGGAATGAATTATCATTATCCTATCTTGATCCTCGAACTAAACAATGTGAAATGGAAGTTCAAAAGATAATTCATTTACAAAGTTTAGCGAATCAATTGCCAGACTCGTTTGCTGACCCAAAAAGAGTGACCAAGTCACATATTCCAGTTGTTAATGCTCCATTTAAAATAGATGTCCCGGAAGGACAAAATAAAATTGCTAATGAGTCTAAACCACGCCAGAAACGTGGAAGACCAATAGGTTCCAAAGATAAGAATCCTCGGAAAAGAAAAGGAGCATTGATTGATGATGATCAAATTGAAGAAACAATTTCCGAAGGATCTCCAGAAGGGACTTTAGACATGATACAAGAAGAAATTCAGGTACCTGATAATGAAGAAATTTCAATAAATTATATCATGTCTGGAATTACATGGAACCGAAATCAAATCGACGTCGATGATGTTTTTGCATGCAATGTAGCGTTAGATGTTATGGATAATAATGAAGATCATGAACCAAAATCCATTGAAGAATGTAGACAAAGAAATGATTGGCCAAATGGAAAGAAGCAATTGAAGCAGAATTAAAATCTCTTGGAAAAAGAGAAGTATTCGGACCTGTAGTCCGTACACCTGAAGGTGTAAAGCCAGTGGGATATAAATGGGTCTTTGTGCGAAAGAGAAATGAAAAGGGTGAAGTTGTAAGATATAAGGCACGCTTAGTTGCACAAGGATTCTCACAAAGACCCGGTATTGATTATGAGGAGACATATTCTCCTGTGGTGGATGCAACTACTTTTAGATTTTTAATTAGTCTGACAATAAGAGAAGGACTTGACTTACGTTTGATGGATGTAGTCACAGCTTATTTATATGGCCCACTGGATAATGACATTTACATGAAGCTCCCAGAAGGATTCAAGCTGCCGGAAGTAGCAAAATCTAGTTCTCGAGAACATTTCTGTATTAAATTGAACAAATCTCTTTATGGATTGAAACAATCTGGGCGTATGTGGTATAACCGTCTAAGTGAGTATTTGTTGAAAGAAGGTTATAAGAATGATCCTATCAGCCCATGTATTTTTATAAAGAAATTTGGATCAGGATTTGTTATAATTGCAGTGTATGTTGATGATTTGAATATCATTGGAACTCCTAAAGAGATTTCTGTGACTGTCAATTATTTAAAGAAAGAGTTCGAAATGAAAGATCTAGGAAAGACAAAATTCTGCTTGGGGTTACAAATAGAGCACCTAGAGAATGGAATCCTTGTGCATCAATCAACATACATAGAAAAGGTTCTTAAAAGATTTTCTTTGGATACAACACATCCATTGAGCAGTCCTATGGTTGTAAGATCACTTGAAGTAGAGAAAGATCCATTCCGACCTCAGGAAAATGATGAAGAAATTCTTGGTCCTGAAGTACCGTATCTTAGTGCAATTGGAGCACTAATGTACCTTGCAAGTCATACACGACCTGATATATCATTTTCAGTTAATTTATTAGCAAGGTTTAGTTCATGTCCAACCCGAAGGCATTGGAAGGGGATTAAACATTTACTTCGTTACCTTCAAGGTACGAAGGATATGTGTTTATTTTTCCCAAAGTTGTCCAAAGAAAATTTGATTGGTTTTGCAGATGCAGGTTATTTATCTGATTCTCATAATGGTCGGTCACAAACTGGATATGTGTTCACATATGGTGGTACTGCCATTTCTTGGTGTTCCATGAAACAAACCATTGCAGCTACTTCTTCCAATCATTCTGAGATTTTAGCAATTCACGAGGCTAGTTGTGAATGTGTATGGTTAAGGTCGGTAGTTCAACATATAAAAGAAGTTTGTGGTTTATCATCAGGGAAAGAGGCACCAACAACTTTATATGAGGATAACGATGCTTGTATTGCTCAACTTAAGGAAGGATACATCAAAGGCGACAGAACAAAGCACATCTTACCCAAAATTTTCTTCACTCATGATCTTCAGAAGAATGGAGATATAAATGTATTGCAGATTCGTTCAAGTGAGAATTTAGCAGACTTATTTACTAAGGCTCCTCCGACAGCAACATTCAAAAAGTTAGCTTACGACATTGGATTGCGTCGTCTTAAAGATCTCAAGTGATGTAGTCAATCTAGTCATGAGGGGGAGTTAATGCGTGCTGCACTCTTTTTTCCTTAACCATGGTTTTTTTCCCACTGGGTTTTCCTGGTAAGGTTTTTAACGAGGCAACATCTTATGCGCATTATAGTGTATTATTTTGTACGGGTTTTGTAGTAAATGTTAGTTATTGTTTTATTCAATATATAGTCATCCAAAGGGAGTGTTATGATAATATCTAAATATGGATGACTATTATCCCATGTACAATCTAGAATATTCTAGAGTTGGGTATTTGGTCTTATCCATTGATAGAATCCTAGATAATGTACATTATATATATCCCGTACTGATATAAAATACAACGTAACAATCTTCCCTCATCTCTCTATATTTTCTCTTTCATAATAACAAAATAAGAATATTTTAAGAGACGAGTAAAGTTTGGACAATTATGGTCAATTATTCCAAAACGGAGAGGGAGTAATTATTCTTCGTGTACTTGTTCAAAAAAATAAAAATAAAATTATTCTTCGTGTACACGTGAGAAAGACATGATGAATCATACAGTAGTATTCTCAGTTTTCTTCTAAGTTGTAATTTTGTACTTGGTGGGAAGTAAAATCTGTGTATCAGTTTCCTCTGTAATCAACCAGTTTATATGAATCGGTTGAGTCGTCCGTTAAACCTGTTCAACCCACCTTCACTCACACCAACAACAACCCGCCTTCTCCTCAACCTTCGACCCCGCATCTCCGCCGCACGCCTCCATCTCCGCCGCCGACCACACTCTCTCTCCGCCGCCGTCGTTCACCGGAAAACAATGGACTCCGATAATTCTCTCGCCAATCTCTCCGGCAGCGTAATCGATGATTTCGTCAATGTTCAGACTCCGACGAATGAGCTCGATAATCACGACCCTAATTTAGTCGCGATTGATAGTGATGATAATGGAGGAGAGAGAATTAATAATGATGATGTCGGAGGAGAGAGAATCGCTGAGAGTGAAGGCTCCAACAATGCCGGAGAATCAGAGAGTAGATCGCTTCCTCAAGAACTTTCCAGAAATGTTGTTGTGTTGTCTTGCAATAATGGCGATGGTTATAAATGTGACGTTTATTTGGTCGGAACTGCTCATGTGTCTGAGGTAATTAACTTAATTGGGGTTTCTTTAATATGTTTTTGTTTCGATGATTGTAAGAATTTCGAAATTAGGGGTTTCTTGATTGTTTGTTTTTGGGAATTTAGTTTTGATTTGGAAATTGGGGGTTTCTTGATTTTTTTTTTTTTTTTTTTTATTTTTTTTTTATTTTTTATTTTTAAATTGTGATGATTCGAACAATGTCTTTGTTGTTGGTTTTGACATTATAAGGTGTGATGATTTTAGTTTGCTTTAATTGTCGGTTTCGAACAATTGTTGATAATTTCATGGTTGTTTGCTGTTGTTCTTACCAACAATATCATCGTTGAGGATAGAAGTGGAAACGTTGATAGATTGTCTTGGGTTTGAATTTTGAGTGCGCCAATTATCGATGAGTGAAATAGTTCTAAATAAGTCGGTTTATGAGGTTTCTCATTCGTAGCGTATTGCCATTAGTCAGAGGGGTGTTTCCCTCTCATTTTAACTGAATTATAGTGTGCATTTTGATGCTGCATAATGAATTGGTTTCCCTCTCATTTTAAAAGTGCTTATTTCTTGATTAAAGCTTATCTTCACTTCACAAATATCATTTGGGAAATTGCATGCAAATTAAATTTAGATAATGGGTCGCTCTTAGGTTACATCGTATCGCTTAACAACTAGAAGAAGCTTAAATTAGTTCAAATGAATCTGGGGTTACGGGAAAATTTGATGGTCGCTTGCTGTTATTTTTGCCAATAATAATATGTTTATTTGAATATAAAAGACAAAAGGGTTGGTTGATTGATTGATTGATTGAGTTGATTTTCCTCATATTGCTGATTACTAAATCTTGAATTCGAAATTTTGGAGTCCCAATTACCGTGAAGATAATGTTTCTGCTTAAGTAGGTGTACTCAAAGTCTCAAATAGACAAGCAACTTTACAGCTTCACATAGTTTGTCAGTTTTTGATTCTACACATATAGAGTGAAAAAGCAGTATCTCTTCTTTTAATTCAGAGGCAGTGTTGAAGCATGTTTTTAATTTATTTTTGCAGGAATCATGCAGAGAGGTTCAAGCTGTAATCAGTTTCTTAAAACCAGAGGTGCTTCTCTATCTATCTTTTTAAATTTCAGAATTTAACAGAGTAACAAAGATTCCTGCTGTAGCTATCGTATTTAGTTTTGATGTTATGGATGTTTTTTAAGACTTCTTTTTGCTGTGGTTCGGATGGTTTTAGGTTGTGTTTTTGGAGCTCTGTTCAAGTCGTGTGTCTATTCTTACCCTTAAAGATTTAAAGGTCAGTGTTTCAACCTTTTTTTCCTTCATGATTGTTTATACCTTTTGTCATGTTGAGGCCTGTATCACCATATTTTGCAGTGATTCCAAACTTAACAGCAGCTGTTTAAAGTTCTGTATATATATATATCTGTTTAAAGTTCTGTATATATACATACATATATATCTTTTTTTTTTGCAGGCCTGGGGGGGGGGGGGAGAGGAGGGGATTCTGTTTTCGTAATGATGTAATGTGTTATGTACTTGTTACATGATTGTTTTTGCGATGATTTCAGGCCTTGGTTGGTGGTCTTATTAGTTCAGTTGCTTCTATATTAGTATAAATTGGACTTCGTTGTATGATTATCTAGAATTACGTTCAACTTTTCAATTTTTCATCTGTACCCGCATCGCATCAGTCTCTAACTATTGCTACAAGTGTATGGAACTTCAAAGCTCACACAGACACTTTCACTTTTATTATCTTGAACCACATTGTAGAAGAAAGATGTGAAAATAGAAGGACAAGAAGAGTATGTGGGATATGTGCTCACAAATGGGCTTGGGCTTAGTTTTCATCAAAAGTTAACAATCAAGCTATCTTGAATTGTGTATATGTTGCTACAAGTTAGAATTCCTGTAAAAAGTCTTCTAAAATTGGGAAAATATTCTATTTAATTATTTATATCATGTACCTGCACCGTGTCCAATTTTAGGTAAGGCTCGGTTTCTAAAACTTTCAGCCTTGACACATTTGACACTTGGATATGTACCCATGCCCAACATTCATACCCGTGTCTATGTAACATAGATCTAGACAATTGTCCAAATTAGGTCACTAAGCAAGGCTAGGCTATTCAGCAAAGGTTAGTTATCTTGTTTTGGCAGTATCTTTGCAGTGATGTGGGAATGACTATGTGTTGCCTTTTGGGGGGTTCTGATTTTGGTTCTTTTTTCCAGTTTTTTTGGAGGTCGGGTAGCACATTTCATTAGCGATACCTAGCTTGTGAGTTCAAGGTTACAAGAAATCAATGATTCACCCTAGAGATGGATTAATGAGGCTGGAGATAGGAGTCGTAGGACTCTTGGACGCTGGAAAGCACGTAACTAGCTTTATACTATTAATTAAGGCTTCAAGTCATTGAAGAAAGGGGCACCATTTGAGTTCTTCTTTTCCTTAGGCTAGTATTGCTTTTATGAGCAACAGTGGATGGCCACAGCATGGCTATGTTCTTCCTATATTTGGGAAAACCTCTGATGTAACATAATTCCCTTGGCATTTGAACTGAAATCTTGCTTTCAAGGGGGTTAAGCCAGCTACACATTCATCTGAACCACTACAAGTCTCTAGAATCACTGGTAATTGTTTCCTATCATTGCTTGCCTCTTGCATCATTTTCAGTTCTTGATTTATCTTAGTATGGAAATAACTGAAGTGAGAAAGAGTGTGGGGTTCAATTGGTCTCAGAAGACTATAATAAAAACAAATTGAACTGCAGGAACATTTAATTTTTACTGTAAGGTTCAACAATGAAGGTTCTTAGACTCGTCTTACAAAATCTTTATGAAAGAATCTATGTATGTATACAAGTGTTTTATTTCATGGATATGAGTGTTAATTTTAAGGATGAAATAGTGTATGTTAGTGTACCATGACATTAATTTCACCTCCTGAAATTTTTCAATAGGGAAAGTGTTGATTTTTCACAAATTAATAGTGGGCATTTAGTTTTTAAGACTTTTAGTCCGTGTGTCCGTGTTCTGGACTTCTGGGTTGGACTCTTATTTATCATGTCCCTGGATCTTCAAGTCCTTTTGCCTTTACAACGTCAGCCTCTTGGATTTACGCCTTTGACAACCATATTCAATTTAGAGAATCATGGACAATGTCTAGTTACCTAGTTTTGTGCCTCATAGGCCCCAATGCACTTCAATTCTCCCTGTCCCTGCACCCCCCATCGCATAGAATCTCATTCTGTTCTTGATGGATGTTAAACTACAATCTGATCACATGTTCTTTCTTTTCTACGTCTACCAACATTCATACCCTGTGTACCATAGAGGATATAAGTGCAACTCCCACTTTGTGATCATGATAAATGACCTACTAGAACCCTTAAGTGACAAATGAATGAATAATTAAGCTCTTCTTTGACCACTCTTGCATCATGAGCTTTCCAAACACTTATTAGAACATTTTTAGGAGTTGATGGCAGTGGACTTAATGATGGAACACCATTTATAAGAAGAAAGACAGAATGATAGATTGTGGAGGATAGTACTTAACGACTGTGTTAAAAATCACAATGATGGATTTAGAAAATAGAACAAGCAAACAGCAAAAACCTTCCAGACATTGTTGGAATGGTGAATCCATCATTCTTAAAATGGAGAAAAATACTCTCAATGCTTTTTTGGAGAACGCTCTCAACCATGCTTCCAATCCTGAAACTAATGATCAACTAGTTCGTTCAACCAAGAAAACTAAATGCAAAATCAACAATCCCAATGAGGTTCCTCACATCTCTACCAATAATAATCCCCCTGCTATGCAACCTGCTCAAGGAGTAACAACCCCTAGTCTTTCTTTCAGAGATATGGTGAACTCCACAAATGCTTTGGATTTCTCTCCACATCATATCCCTGTAGAAGATGATGAGGAATTGTCGGATGGTGATGAAGCCCCGGCAGACATGGTAGAAGATCCCAAATGTCCAGTGATTCTTCTCTCGAAAGAAGAAAAAGCTAGACTTCGTTAACCATGGAAACACACTCTCATTATTAAAATGTTTGATAGTAAGATTGGATACATGTCTCTCATGAAGAGATTGAAAAAGAAATGGGAATTGTCTGGACTACTTCATTGCTCGTTTTTCTAATTTGGGTGACTACAACCATGTCCTTACTCAGGGGCGGGGCCCTGGGTGCTTGATGACAATTACCTTACCATTAGAAAATGGATTCCCAATTTCATTCCTGATAATACTCCAATGAGATTTCTGACTGCTTGGGTACGTATTCCGAATTTATATGTGGAATACTTTGATAAGGAATTTCTTCACAAAGTAGGAAGCAAAATTGGCAAGGTTATTAGAATTGATAATAACACTGCATTAGCTCAACGGGGTCAATTTACTAGGCTTAGTATTGAGCTCGATCTATCGAAGCCTCTTTTGTCAAAATTTTGGCTTAAGGGTCGTATTTGGAGGATTTAGTACGAACGACTTTGCATGATTTGTTTCAATTGTGGAAAAATTGGTCATCAAGGGGATCAATGTCAGTCTTATGATCACAATTCTACTGATCTGGGGTTTGATAATGAAACGATTCCAGTGAATAAATGAGACAAGGTTTTCTTGGGAGTGTAGTTCAAGTTGCAATGAAGTAGAAAGTTTAATGCTTGGGTGGATGATAACCAATTGGTTGAAGTGGAATTTTCTGGACCCTCTCATACTTGGGCTCGTGGGAACACTGTCGCCACTAGACAAAGCGCACGCATAGATCTTGTTCTTTGTTCTTTTGAGTGGAGCTCTCGATTTGACAAGGCAAGAGTAAAGCACCTACCTGCTTTACAATCGGACCATTGTCCCCTGCTCATTTCTCCTAATGGATTTGCTCCCCTTGATTCTTTGAACTGTCCTTTTCGCTTCCAAGCGGCTTGGCTCTCTCATGAAAAGTTTTCGGATTTTTTAGAAAAAAAATGGAATTCATCTGCTCCTCTCATCCCGCTGCTTTCCTCTATTTCAAAAGATCTCCAAGAATGGAATCAAGAGATTTTTCATAACATCTTTAGGGAGAAACGTTCCTTAATGGCTCGTATCAAAGGTGTTCAATCGTCCCTTGCAACATACAGACATTCGGGCTTATTGAAGCTTGAGGCAAAACTCCGTAGAGATCTTGATGATGTGTTGGAAAAAGAGGAGCTTCTTTGGTATCAAAAAGCTCGTGTCAATTGGATTGAGAATGGTGACCGAAACACGTCTTTCTTTCACCTAAGTATTGTAATCCGTCGATGGAGGAATAAAATTGCAGCTATTAAAAATAATGATGGTCAGTGGGTTTATGATCCGATTGAGGTGAAAAATCTGGTTGTCAATTATTTTTCTTCTGTGTTGATGATGGCCACACAGGGAATACAATATTCCCAAAGGCGTGTGTAAGGGGCTTTCTAATGAAGAGTGGGACATGTTATGCTGACCATTCACTAAATGTGACATCGAGGTTGTAAAAAATATGGGGGCGTTGAAAGCACTAGGACAGATTTCAAGCCATCTTTTATCAGAAGAATTGGGATGTTGTAGCTCCTAATTTGTATTCCATGGCATTGTCGGTGTTAGAGGGAATCCCGATTCCCTCAATGAAACCTTTTTGGTGTTGCTGCCTAAAATTGATAGTCCGGAATCCCCTACTCAATTTAGGCCAATCGGCCTATGCAATGTCACATACAAGATCATCACGAAGGCAATTGTAAATAGATTAAAACCTCTGCTACCAAAACTCATCTCGGCCTCTCAATCGAGTCTTGTTCCAGGGAGACAAATAACCGACAAAATTGTTATTGTCCAAGAAGTCATCCACACTATGAAACGCAAACAAAGTGGGAAGGGTTATATGACAATATAGATCGACTTTGAGAAGGCCTATGACCGTCTCAAATGGGCTTTTATTCGTGACACTCTCTAGGAGATGAATTTTCCAATTGCTTTGATTGAAATTATTATGAAATGCATCTCCTCCCCTTTGATGCAACTTCTTTGGAATGGGGAAAAGACAGAGGCATTCTATCCTTCTCGTGGCATAAGACAAGGTGACCCCTTATCACCTTATCTTTTTGTTATTTGTATGGAACGTCTCAATCAAGTCATAGAAGAAGCAATATTTAATGGGAGCTGGAAATCGATTTATGCAAGTAGAGGGGGTCCTCTTCTTTCTTATCTCCTTTTTGCGGACGACTTGATCTTATTTGCCGAGGCTTCATTGCCTTGATAGGTTTGGTGCAGCGTCTGGACAACGTGTTAGTCTAGCTAAATCACGTGTCTATTTTTCACGCAATGTTTCGAGCACTGATGCTACTGCTATTAGCCAGGCTTTGGGTATGGAATCTACAGAAGACTTGGGTATTTACCTTGGGATGCCTACATTAACGAGTAGGGTAACAAAAGCAACCTTTGCGCATATTTGTGAGAAGATTGATAGAAGACTTATCGGTTGGAAAACTAAATACCTTTCTCTTGCGGGGAGGGTAACTCTTGCTAATTCTACTATCACTTCTATGGCAAATTATTCAATGCAATCGGCCAAGATTCCTCGGGGGATTTGTGATGACATTTATAAAAAAACACGCCGTTTTATTTGGGGAGGAACGGAAGAGCATAGACGTATCCATCTTCTTTCTTGGGAGACATTGCAACTGCCAAAAGACAAAGGAGGCCTTGGTATTAGATCAGCACGTCAAGCCAATTCGGCCTTCCTTACAAAACTTGGCTGGAGAGTTTTATGTGAACCTGAGACTCTTTGGTCGAGGTGATTAGAGCCAAGTATTGTAAGGGTAGGTGTGACATTGATATGTTCACACCCACCAATAACATGTCGAACGTTTGGCAAGGTATATAGAGAATGCTCATTGGATTTAAAAAGGTTCTGCTGTTGCCATTGGCTATGGTCGAAGGACCTTATTTTGGGATCATTGTTGGGCAACGGAGAACCCTCTCCGTGAGTTAGCAATAGCTACTATTCCAGAAGCGGTTGATGGTGCCATTGTTGATGAAATGTGGGATGCTGAAGGCGACTGGAGGTGGGAGTTGTTCTCTGATTTGCTTCCTCCATATGCTCTCAAATTGATTGCTGCCCACAAGGTTTATAAGGATTCAAATATTGAAGATCTGAGATTCTGGAAAGGATCTAACTCGGGTAAGTTTTCAATCAAGTATGCCTTAAAAATCATGAGGAATGATGAGCATATTCTTAAAGACTCGAAGTGGGATTTGGCTTGGTATACTACTGTGCAGCAACGAATCAAAATGTTTCTTTGGCTTGTACTACATGACCGTCTGCTATGCAATGCCAACCGATTAAACGCCAATTGACGGATGATCCCAGGTGTGAATTATGCTCTAGCCAAGCTGAGGAAACACTCATCCACTTATTCAGAGATAGTAGCTCAGCCAAGGTTATATGGGATAGCATTGGTGGTGCGGCTAATTACCCTTCCTTCTTTGGTGGGGATCTTCAATGCTGGATGATCTGTAATTTGAAAGCAGAGGGACTTATTTTTTCTGAAAAATGGCCGACCTTTTTTGCTACAACTCTTTGGTGGATTTGGAAATGGCGCAACAATCATATTTTTGGCAAAGGTGAAGATATCCCACATGACAAAGGCATCTTTATTCGAGGCAAAGCTGAGGAAGCCTGGAGGGTCTTAATGGGTGTTACTGATGAACAATCCTCAGTGAACAATGGCTCAATTCGTAGAGAAATTATGGTCAAGTGGCAGCCCCCTCCTATGGGATGGTTCACCCTCAATACAGATGGTGCTGCTAAGGGATCCCCTGGTGCTGCTGGTGGGGGAGGTATCTTGCGTGATTGCTATGGCCATTTTGTCTAAGCATTTTCAGCTAACCTGGGTGTTTGTTCTTCCTACCGTGCTGAATGACTTGCATTGGAGGTTGGTCTTCGAATTGCAGTTGACAAAGGCATTCCTAAGCTAGTTTTACAGATGGACAACAAAGCTTGTATTGAAGCACTACAAGGCGAGCAAGTGCAAGGAGGAGAAGGTGCGATTATCCTAAGGGAATGTCGCAACATCATTAAGTCTTTTGGGCTTAATTCATGTATTTTTCATTGTTTTAGAGAGGGGAACAAAGTGGCTGATAGTTTAGCTAATCTAGGTGTTGTCCAAAGGGAGAGGGTCCTTTATTTTGATAATCCTCCTATCGAAATAAAGGAGCTTCTTCAGGAGGACTTTCTAGGAGTCACCACTCCCCGTTTTGTTATGTAATTTCCTTGTTTTATTGAATAAAAGGGCCTGGCCTTCATTTGCACCAAAAAAAAAAAAAAAAAAATTGTTGGAATGGTGAGGACGGAGTACATATATGTGGAGTCATATTAAATGTTGACTAGTTTGAATTTGTACTATGTTTCCCACACTTTTTTATTCCATGATGTCCACCCCACTTCTGAAAAAAGCTAGGGATACTGATATTCGTTCTGGGCTAACTGGGAATTGATTTTTCATTTATTTGCAGATACCAACCATGACAGAAATGATAGACTCGTGGAAGAAAAAGCAGAATATTTTTGGAATACTCTACGGCTGGTTTCTTGCAAAGGTGTGTACTATTTTATTTTATTGATAGCATCCCTTGCAGTCTTTTTAGTATGCTGTATATTGAATCAATGTGAAGCTATGTGTTTTTTCTCATCAAAGTGACCAAAAGTTTACCTCAATTTCAGTTCTTATGAATAGTAAGGTCTGTTGAGAAAAACCATGCTTAAGTGTGTGCTGTATTTTTGTTTATCCTCCTGTATCAATAGGTCTCTTCACCTGTATACATCTTTGGAACTTTCTCAAACTGAGGCTCTAATTTTATTACAGAGAACTGCATTGGATTCGGGCCTTAGCGGGAACTTGGAATATTAATGCTTACCATCTTTCCTATTTATTTTGCTCCTTGAAATGTCAAGAAACCTATTTTTGAAGTTGCTCCTTCTGTATTACCCATTCTTAGAGTTTACATTATATTTGAGAGATTGAGGCAGATATCACTGAAGTAAAATGTCAAGAATTGCATGACCAGGTTGCTCATTCAAGAATATATATGATTAGTGAACTAGATAACCTGGACATGTCATTTGCGAAACACTGGCAGCAATACTTCATTTTTTCAGCTGACTTTTTTTTTTTAATTTTTTTTTTTAATTTTTTTTTTTTTTTTTACAGTGGTTTGCTAGGAACTGGGCTCAGAACAGGAACACACAATCACACACACAGAATATGAGAGAGCTCAATTGATATGTTGTATTGATAATCAAGGAAATTAAGCAATACAACTCTCCTTCTTTCGAGAGGAAGGATTCTCTCCAACAAACTCCACTCTAATCAATATTCAGCATATTTCTTCCATTACAATCATCCTATATATAATCAGTTGCTAGTATTTTTTACAGCTTAGAGGCATAACAAACTTATTACCAAAATTACCACATTACCCCAAACCCACATAACAAATTTCTAACAGAATTCCAGCTCAGCATCAAGTTGCTGGAGGATTCCTTTTGAGCCTTCTCCGAGCATATGTGATTAAGGGTCTAGGCTGGCCCCTTGCAATACCCCCTTCCCAAACTTACACCTTGTCCTCAAGGTGGAAAGAAGGAAATCTGGCATCAATCTCAGCAAACTGTTCCCAAGTAGATTCAAACTCTTGCAGTCCTTTCCACTTGATCAACACCTCTGTAGCTTGTTGAGAAGTTCTCACACCAACCACTGCCTCTGGTTCCACATCAAGAACTAAGTCAGAAGTAAGCTGAGGAGGAAGCTGAGTGGGCTGGGCAAGTGTCCTGTTCCAACTGCCTTCTTCAGAGAGATGTGAAAGACAGGATGAATTCTGGCATAGTCAGGTAATTGCAGCTTGTAAGCCACCTTGCCTACCCTTTGTAGCACCATGTAAGGCCCAAAGAATCTAGGATACGGCTTCTCATTCTTCCTCCTTGCCAAGGATTGCTGTCTATATGGCTGGAGCTTCAAGTAAACCAACTCCCCAACCTGAAACTCACCCTCCCTTCTACTCTGATCCTCATATTGCTTCATATAGCACTGGGCTTGAACCAGATGGAACTTCAGTTCATCCAATATAGCATCTCTCTCCAGTAACTGATCTTCAGTGGAGACAGAGACAGATGTGCTACCAGGTGCTAAACGCACTAAGTGAGGAGGGTCCCTGCCATACAAAGCCTTGAAGGGTGTGCAATGTGTGGTTGTATGAAATGCCGTGTTGTACCAATATTCAGCCCATGGTAGCCAAGATGCCCAGCTCTTAGGCTTCCCGTTCACAAAAAACGAAGGTAAGATTTTACCCCTTTGTTGAGAACCTCGGTCTGACCTGTCTCCGGATGGTAGGCTGTACTTCTTCTCAACTGAGTGCCTTGGAGTTTGAATAATTCAGACCAAAACACACTGACTGAGACAATAGAAGAGGGAACACCATGGAGTCTCACAATCTCCTTCAAGAAACAGTGAGCTACTCCTTGAGCAGTGTAAGGGTGCTTCAAAGGTATGAAGTGGCCATACTCGATGAGGCGGTCAACCACGACCAAAATCGAATCCCACCCTCCGGATTTAGGTAGACCTTTGACAAAATCCATGGAAATGTCCTCCCATACCTTGTCCGGAATAGGCAGAGGCTGGAGCAAGCCTAAGGGGGAGAGAGTAGAGGTCTTGTTTTGCTGACATACATGACATTACTTGACATAACTTGCAACATCCCTTCGCATTTCTGACCAATACCATTCAGCTGCCAAGCGTTGGTAGGTTTTTAAATCTCTTGCATGACCTCCTACTGGGGTCTTGGGCAACGAGTAGTGAGCTCAGAGTTGTTTGGGATGACCAGTGTGCCCTTGTACTTAAGCACCCCATTTTCTAGAGAGAACCACTTAGGAACTGTTTCATCCTTACCAATCCGAGAGCCCCAAGTCCTTATCAATGAAGGCCTTGACATATTCCCAACTAACTCCACAAGCAGTGACCATGGAAGCACACTCCACCTCCGGGGATTGTTGCCTTGACAGAGCATCGGCCACCTTATTGGTGGGCCCGACTTGTAGTGTATATCAAAGGTATAACCAAGAAGCTTGCTCACCCATTTCTGGTAAGCATATTCCACCACTCGCTGTTCCAACAAGAACCGCAAAATTTTTTGGTCCGTGCGTACTATAAATTGTCTTCCCAACAAATAATGCCTCCACTTCTCAATGGCAAACACGATAGCCATTAATTCATTCTCATAAATAGGCTTTGCCCTAGCCCATACTCTTAACACTTTGCTAAAATATGCTATAGGGTGAATTCCTTGTAGCAAGACTGCCCCTAAACCGAACCCCGAGGCAGAGAGAAATTAGGCATGGCCAAGATGGGAGCCTTGGTCATGGCTGATTTCAAGGCTTCAAAGGCCCGAGTAGCCTTGGCAGTCCATCCCTAACGGTCCTTCTGTAGATTAGTCAAGGGTCTTGCTATCTTTGCATAGCCTTGGATAAATTTCCTATAATAGTCCGTAAGGCCTTAGAAACCCCGTAAGTCCTTGAGGTTCTTGGGAACAGGCCAATTGACCATGGCATGGACTTTTGTGGCATCAAATTCTACTCCCATGCTTGAAATGACATGGCCGAGGTATGCCACCTTCTCCTTCCCAATTTCGCACTTCTTCATATTGGCATAAAGGCTGTGTGAGGCCAAGGTTTGTAAGACTTGCTGCAAATGGGAGTAGTGCTCCTCCATTGACTGACTATAGACGAGTATATCGTCAAAGAATACCAAAATGAATTTCCGAACTAAGGGTCTGAACACCTCGTTCGTTGCCGGAGCATTTGTAAGGCCGAAAGGCATTACGAGAAACATTAATGACCCTCGTGGGTGCGAAACGCAGTCTTGGGCACATCCTCCTTAACTCGAATTTGATGGTAGCCGGACTTGAGGTCCAATTTAGTGAACACCCTAGCACCGTGAAGTTCATCAAGTAGTTCATCGATCACCGGAATAGGGAATTTATCGGGGACCGTCTCCTTGTTAAGTGCCCTATAATCGACACAGAACCGCCACGAGCCGTCCTTCTTCTTAACAAGAAGAATCGGGCTAGAGTAGGCACTAGAAGAAGGCTGAATTATTCTTGCCTTGAGCATATCTTGTACTAGTTTTTCAATCTCATCTTTCTGGGGATATCTATAAGGACGCACACTGATGGGATTAGTCCCACTTTTCAAGGTAATGGCATGCTCAATATCTCTGATTGGTGGCAGCCCCTTTGGTAAGTGAAACACCTGCTGAAACTGGTCAGTGAGAGGTTGAAGAGCAGCTGGAACATGAATGTCTCCCACTTGGAGCCCCTCTAACTGATTGCACTCTAACAACACCCCATGCCCTTCTCTTTGCAGGGTCTTTACCATTGCTTTGAGGGAAATACAGGTCCTCTCTAGCTGTTGGATCCCCCTTAAGGGTCACCATCTCACCACCCACCTGGAATTTCAGGGTCTGGTGCTTCCAATTCAAAGCTATAGTGCCCAATTTCTCGAGCCACTGGGATGCCTAAGATCACATCAGAATTTCCCAAGGGCAGGATGAGAAAATCCTCAATGATGGAAACCCCCTGTAGCTCCAATAACACCCCCTTACTCAATCCTTCTCCCTAAACAGTCTCCCCTGTCCCAAAGTCACTCCAAAAATTTTCGAGTCGGAGATTGGTACCTGCAAGTGGTGCGAGGGTCCACCATCACTACCACCTTACCTCCATTAATGGAGCCCACCAACTTGATAGTCTTTACTGGTGAAACACCCGGGCTCGGGTCAACAGAAAAAGAAGATAAGGGTGAGGAAGGTACAGTTACCTCAACGGCGGCCAGCTCATCGGCGTCGCCACCATCATCCTCGTCATCGTCGACGGTGAGAAGCACACTGAGTTCCCGGCGACGACAACGATGATTCAAATTCCACTTCTCATCGCAACGGAAGCACAACCCCTGCTCGCGTTTCTGTTGCACCTCCTTCTCCGAAGCCGCCTTATACCTCCGGTGGGATTGTGGTGGTTGCATGTGAGGCGATTTGGCTGAGTTTGGGTAAGTGGGGTCTGGATCGGGGTTGTGTTTGAGTTTGGTATTGTGTTTAGTTGGATAAGGGGTTTTCCTATTGGGTAGGGCTCCTCCACATCTTGGCCTTGGGCTAGCATGAGCTCTTTGATCGCTCAGGGCCCCAACTTTAAGGGGTCCACATCTATTTATTTTTATTTAGAAAAAATAGTTTATAATAATTTATACAAAATATTTTTTTTTACAAAAATCAAAACAAGGCAAAAACTGAAAATTATACACAATATTCATTTTAGGAGGTAGCTCTGGCTTTTTCTGTAATTCAAGCATTTTATTAGCTTCCCAATTTTATAATTATGTTATTAAAACTCTTTACTTAACTTTCATAATTTTTTTTTTCAAAAAAGTAAAAATTATGATCTATATATTAGAGTAAAAGTTAGGCAAGTTGTTAAAATCATTATTGTTAAAAAGAAAAAAAAATAGAAAGAAGAGTTAGCAAAATCTCAAATGACTATCATGCATTCGTTATTTTGACAAACTTTTTAACATAAAGTTCATGAAAAATTATGGAGGAAGCCCCAATTTATCACATTCATAAACAAACAAAAGTACATGGAGTCAACATGGCATTTTCTTATTTATACCAACAACTGTGCTCCCCATATTTATAAAAAAGTTGTTGATTTAATTTGTTTACAGTTTTACCACTTAACAAACAAAATTTATTTATCAAGATAATAAACTTGTATTTTCTCGTAATTTTGTTGATGTATTATTAGTAAATACGACTCGATTATTTAGGGGCCCTTGTTTAGTTTTCGCTCCGGGCCCCAAAAATTTCCGAGACGGCACTGGGCTGACCCGCATGAATAATTCCATGGCCTGATCCAAAGTGACCGGATCCAGGATCCGCACTTCCACTCGGATCTTCTCTTCCAATCCATTTATATACTGCAATTTCTTCAGGTACTCCTTCCAAGGATGCCAGCAACTCAATGAAGCGTCGCCGGTAGTCATCCACCGTACCGGTTTGCTGGTGGGCCAACCACTGCTCATGCAGCGTTCCGGTTGCCGTGGTACGGAAACGCCGGAGAATCAATTTCTTCAGCGATTCCCAAGTGAGCAACGGGTGGCGCTGGTGTTCCCATTGATACCAAAGCGAGGCGTCACCGTCGAGAGCTACCACCGCCGCCTCCATCTGATCCTCCTCGCTGAGCCAATAAAAATGGAAGAATCGCTGCCCTGAGAATCCAACCATCTGGGTTAGATCCATCGAAAATTGGGAGATCAAGCTTTCTCACCTTCCAATTCGATTGGCAACCATGGAAACTCTCGTCATGCATCTCCGAACGTGGTTGTGAACCAGCGAAAGGGTTGTCCCATTGGTAGGAGGACCCAGATACTCCGTTGCATTGGTTCTTCTCTGGACCATTGGCAAACTGAGCCGTTAGATCCATCTTAAATGCCGCCAGTAGTGATTTCTTGAGCAACGCGACCAGGGACACCTGCAATCTCCTGAAGATCCAAACGCTGGCCATGGGTAAGTCGAGCCATCGTCTACTCCGGCAAGGATCGTGGCGGCTCTAATACCAATTTCTAGGAACTGGGCTCAAAACAGGAACGCACAATCACACACACAGAATATGAGAGAGCTCAATTGATATGTCGTATTGATAATCAAGGAAATTAAGCAAATACAACTATCCTTTCGAGAGGAAGGATTCTCTCCAACAAACTTTACTCTAATCAATATTCAGCATATTTCTTCCATTACAATCATCCTATATATAATCAGTTGCTAGTATCTTCTACAGCTTAGAGGCATAACAAACTTATTACCAAAATTACCACATTACCCCAAACCCACATAACAAACTCCTAACAGAATTCCAGCTCAGCATCAAGTTGCTGGAGGATTCCTTTTGAGCCTTCTCCGAGCATATGTGATTAAGGGGTCTAGGCTGGCCCCTTGCATGGTCTCAGCTGATGTATGGCAAGTATGTTGGTGTTAAATGAACCCAACAGATCTACTGTGGTGATTGAACCCATACGCAAGGATGTTTACTCCTTCCCTTTAAATTCCAAGTCTAGATTTGTGAATCAAACATCAATTACCCAAGGCCCTAGGCTGTCTGCTGTATGTATTGTGAAAATCAAGATGAGATCACTATCCTCTATTTCCAAATTTAAAGAAGTTTACTGTGTGATAGTTCTTGCTGATTCTATTTGGGTATAGGAGACAAACTAGTTAGTAAAAGAGGGTTATAGGACTTTGGTTTGCTAAAGATTGTAAGAGGCTAGCTTGATGATGATGGCTGATTTTAGCTCTTCTGAGGGGGAAGATGTCTTATTTAAAAGGTGGGAGTTTGCTAGACTTGCTCAGAGATTTTCTGAACTTTGAAATTCTGTCCATTGATCTGCATGGCTCTTGGTTATATAAAAAATCTGGGCTGGAACAAGGTCAAGAAAATAATCTTGACGCTAATGGCAGAAGTGGGATGATAATGGGAGCTTGGTTGCCTATCCAAAGGTCAAAAGTTTCATATATGGTATCTAGGAGAAAACTGATGAGAAGTTTTTCATCTGATGGGAGGAAAAACAGGCTTTTGTGGGCAGAAAGCAGGAAAAGTGTTCCATAGTATTTAAAATTGGCAATTGATTATGAGAGATATTGTATGGATTATGCTTCAGGTTTTGTTAGTTGTTTGACCTCTCGTAGTCTCTTATGACAGTGACAGCTTGCTATCTTAAATAATTCTCACTCTTCAGAATTCGTACACCCTTTATATATATATATATATATATATATATATATATATATATATATATATATATATATATATATATATATTTTAAAATAAGAAAAAGCAAGCAGGGTTAGCAGGGATTATTGGGGTAATTTTCTTTGGCCTGGTTATTTTTTTTGTAACTGCTCTTATTTTAATTAAGCATTCTTTATATATTGTATATTTGTTTTTATTTTTTGTTCAGGTTGCTGACAAACTTGAAGTGCTTCCTGGTTCTGAGTTTCGAGTGGCATTTGAAGAAGCAATGAAGCTTGGCAGCAGGGTTGTACTTGGTGATCGGCCCGTGCAAGTAAGATTATCGCTGGTTAAATTTGTCCAGAATTTATGGTTAATTGTAAATTTTAATTCAGTCTCCTGTCAAATTTATAATTTATTGCAAGCTAAAATAACCCAAATCCTTTTGGATTACTGTTTTGGTTGAAAACTGCCAAAAGTTAGTTAAGTGAGGGTGTTTGGAATTCTTGCAGCCTAATTATTGAATTATAATTATGTGAATATATTGATGCTGTATAAATGGCTCTTTTTAATGCAGTTTACTCTTTATAAATGCTTTCATTTTGCTTTACTCCTAATCAGTTTTTTTATTTGTCGATTTGATTGAGGGCAAGGCTTAATGAATTACCCCCTTTTCAGCAGTTCCATTGATTTTTATTCCTAGAAATTTCAAGATTTCCAGTGACCTTCAAATTTTATGTTTCTTAATTACTGGTATTTTTCAGAAGATTATTTAACTAATAAAAAATTTACTTGGCAAACTTTTGACTTGTATTTCATAATCAAACTGAATTCGTGCTGGCTGCTTTTCATGAAAAACGTTTGTTTGGCTTCAATGATTTTGTAAAGTGATATGAGGCATCATTGTTGATAAATGGTTCTTGCTGTCTTTGATTTGAGTATCTATATTTTATACCCATGTAGATGCTTTTGATAAAACCTTTCTGCAAATGGGTGGTAGTATCTGATGCATATTTAATGCAGTATTTTATATCTCTCTTTTATCTTCATTGGATGTTACGAATCACAAAGGTCTCCCTTTGTCCCTTAATGTTTTCACACTTCCTAACTATGGAGTTCTCCAAATTAAAAACCCTTATGGGGAACACATTTAGTTGATGTTTTTCTCTCCTTAAGAATGCCGCATAGGCACAAGCCACATACCCACCTCACTAGTCTTTTTTTGAAAATATGGGTTATTTGTCAGAACGTACCTTATTTGACACATTTACGTGAGAGAGCTTTTTTGGGGCAAATAGTAGTATAGTACCTTAATATACTAAGCATCTTTACGAAACATCTTATTGCTGGACCCCAGAGAAAAGTCAGCCACAGAAACTTTCCCTTTTATTTGACTATATTTCTCTCTTTCTTATTTTCACACATTCACTTCCTCCCCTCCCTTGGTTTCTCTTTTCTTCTAGTTTATGAAACTACACCAGTATTGTTGTAATTTACATTATGCTCTCTTTTGGGTCTTCTATGATGACTTTTGATCCCCTCTCCTATTCTTTCTTAATGAGTCTATCCCTCCCATGGCTCCCATGTGACTTCCACTTCTAGTTCAAGACTCCTTGGTGGTTAAGGCAACCATTTTTTTTTTTGTTTTTTGTTAATTTTATTTTATTTTTATTTTTTTCACATCATGCTCTCGCTCTTTTGGTCTTCTATGATGACAAATGATTCCATCTCCTATTCTTTCTTCTTGACTCTCCCCCTCCTGGGTGACTCCTACTTTTGGTTCATAACTCATGGTGTTAAGACCAAAATTATATGCAAGTATGATCACAATTTTCTGTATGTCATGTTGAATATTCTTTGGAACTTTGGTTGTTGAAAATCTTAATATGTATATATGATGCCAAATTTTGATGTTGTATTTTTGAACTAGGTGACATTACGAAGAACATGGAGTAAAATGCCACTTTGGCATAAGATTAAACTAGTGTACTCTTTTCTCTTCCAAGCAGTGTTTCTCCCAGGCCCAGATGATATTAATAGAATGGTAAAATTTATTACATGAATTGACTTGCTGATATCAGAAATACTCATAAATTTTTCATTTCATTTTTGATGTGTGTTTCTGTATTGCTTTGAGGTTTGACATGTTGTACACTTATCTAGTTAAAGGAAATGGATGATGTCGATATGTTGACTTTCGTGATTCAAGAGATGAGCAAGGAGTTCCCCACATTGATGGAAACGCTAGTGAATGAGCGAGATCTGTTAGTTTTCTCTTGCCTTTGTATCCAGTTTTATTTTTCTTTATTTTCAAAGTATTCTTACCTCTATAAGTTAGATATGATAAATGCTATTCTTTCTCTTCTAAGTTAGGTGATCTTACCGGTTTTCTCTTTTTCATGGGTATGCTGGACACCTATTAATTGAATTATACACCTATACAGAAATTTAATAAAGTGAAAAGTTATTGCTCTTTTATTGTCTGCCTTTGAGAAACTTGCTTAGTTGATTTTTTACTCTTTTTTTTTTATAAATAAATAATTTTTACTGCTGAGCAGTCAGCAGAAATTACAAGAACATTTCTCAAATAGCAATAATAAAGATGGAGTATTGGAGTGACCTCCAATTTTCCAAAATTCCAGATGTTTTATTTATTTATTTTTTTCAATTTTCAATTGTCACTAAACTGTTGATTAGTTATTAATATGTTTCCATGACATTATGCTATAAAATCTGTTAAAAATATTATTCCTCTTCTACTTTCTGTCTAGCAACACACGCAACACCACCCAACCAGCCAACACAACATTCTTCAGACCTTGAAACCATAGTTTGCACCACCACATACCATCTTTTTATTAAAAAAAAATATCTACAACTTGGAATTTTGCTAAAGTGCAGGTCACCCGTCACCATCTAGAATTTTCCAAATAATATTAAATATCCAACAAAATTTAGACTGAATATGCTGTATATGGTCACAGAATTGTGCTAAACATAATCACATACCATCTCTTATTCTTGGAATTGATGAAGAGATGACTTTTGTAAAAATGGAGGGTCACCATATAGATCTCCTTAATAAAATTAATTATGTAACAAAATTATAAAAAAATATGCTATATTTAGCACAGAATTGTGTTAAACAAAATCACAGGGTCGCCATGGAAATTATAAAATATTTCCACCATCTAGAATTTTTCAAAACTGGAGCTCACCCATCTAGAATTTCCCAAAACAGATTAAATATTATTAGCCAAGTTCCGTTAAGTTTTCTCATTGTGTAATTATTAAAAGTTTTCAAGCCCCAACTGCCTTAGCCCACCACAAAGATAAATAAGTTTATCTATCCAAAATTCCATATCCCATGTAGAAAACATGTTGCAGATCTAAATTAGTACAAGAGAAAATTCAGTACTCCCCATACACAGCAAATAGCCACTTCCAAATATTACTTGCCATTTCACAATGAAAAAGACATGTGAGAAAGAGTCACTATTGGCACGACACAACATGCACATATCCAGCAAAATAGCTATCCCTGATCTCCCTTTGGAGTGTATCATTAATGTTGATTCTATCCAACCCAAGGTTCACTCAAAAGTTCTCACCTCAAGGGGAACTCTAGCCTCTCAAATAAAACTATGAACTGGGAAGAGGGGTACATCCATGTAAAAGATTGACAGACCTAAAAAGACATGCAACAAAAGGTGCTTAAAGAGAAATTTGCTTCTCATCACATCTCAGGAAATGCTCAGAGAAGCAGGGTGTAAATTGGTTGGCTTGGTTTCTGCTCTTGCAGTTGGTAAATGTAAAACATTTTTGTTAGATTGTAGGTGTTTTAAAGAGGAATTACTGAATAGCTCTTTATCTCTATATTATTTATCTTTATTCTTGTCAACCTGTTGATTTGCCAATGGGTCTTTGCATGGCCTAGGTATATGTCATCTACATTATTGAGGATTGCAAGGGAGAATACATCAGTGGTTGCAGTTGTTGGGAAGGGTCATCTACAGGGTATAAAGAGGAACTGGGAGCAACCTGTTGAGGTTAGTGACTATCAAATTTGTCAAATTGTGTTACTGTAGATAATGCTGAAAATTAATTGTCATCCAACCTACCTTGACTATTTTATTATGGATTCTAATATACGCTGTGAGATAAATCAATATCTTTATGTACTGATTGAAGTCACCTTTACATATTGATTGAAGTCAGCTTTACATATTGATAGATGAAGTCATATCAATCAAACTGACTAATATGCACTGATTGTTCATATTAAGCAATTAAAATTGTAGGCCTGTTCTTGATAGTTGATAAGCTGGTTTACTGTGTTTTGTTCTTTCCCATGCTACCTTCCTTTTTTTCATCTGAAGATTTTTACTTGCACTTTTGCCACCAATTACTCAATTAGTATCTATTACTTTCCTTTTAACATTATTCCATTTCAAAAATCTGTTTTCAATAGTATCATCTCAGCAGATTAAGGCTTTAAGGGGGATCTGTTTTGAGCCTTTTACCAGTTGCTGCTTTGATACAAAAACCATTAGATGAGTGTAGACTTTAGGAAACCCCCGACAAAGGGATTTTTTTGTATACAGATTTTTTGTAAATTTAAGTTAATGTGTTGGCAATCTTCACCTATCCCTTGGATTTTCAGTGCTTTTGTTTTGTCATTTGTAGGTCTCGGATTTAATGGAAATTCCTACAAGTCGTCCTTTCCTGTCAGCTGTGAAGGTCCTTACAACTGTTGGTGTAGCAGTTGCAGGGGCTGCAATAGTTTCCGGTATATACCTGGCATCAAAAAAGCAGTCCTAGTGACAATTTTCTGCTTTGTGAATCTTCTCGACTGAGAGATTGTTAATTTGGGTCGAAATTTACAAGATATGAATGCCATGATGTTTGCTTGTTGATGAAAGCTGATTATCAGTAACTGGTCATCAAGCGTTTGCTGCTTAGTGTTAGTAGCAGTATATCATTGTAGTTGTTGGAGGTAAAAGTGGTTGTAATAATTCGTCAGTATACGTATGATTCATAATGCTTTTGTTGATATTATCAGTGGTTGTAGGAGGGATCGTAACTGTAATTTGAGTGGATTTTGACGATTTGTGTCCCTGTTTGTATAAAACTTTTACACTTCATTCTTCATTAAGGAAAGAAAATAACTTGTAATGTTGTTTTAAAAAATTTTGCTTCTTATTTGTAATGTCGATTGAATGCAAGCCTTTAATTTTCATCCTTTTTATTGCTTTTAATTTAATTTTATTTTTTTGATGCAATTCTTGCTCACTTTTTGCTGGAAATAATGCTAGGTACAAAGTTCGCTCTCTTTCGGGAGAATCATAAAGCCTTTGTTCTTACCAATCTTCATAAAAACTTGTTTGAAAAAAATGACGAATGGTACATGGTGTAGAAATGAATTTAGAGTGTTGTAACGTCCATGTTAAATTAAAAGTGAACGGTGAAAGTGTCTCTCCATTTAATTTAACAGTTTGACCAATAGCACTCACTTTTAATCGAACTGTTGCAACTAAGAGGGAACACAAGAAGTAATTATTTTGTACACTTCAATTTAAGTTGGCTAATATAATACTACTTCCGTTACATATTATTTGCACCAATTAGACATTTTTCCTCTCTACTTTATGTCAAATCGTTGCAAATAATATGTAACGGAGGTAGTACATTCTTCTAAAAAAAAAAGCTAATATAATAGATTTTTCTTTATTCGAACACACAATGCAATGAACTTTGATCTGTAGAAAATGACCTCTCCAATAAATTATAATCGATCAAGGGTTGAATATGAAGTGAAGACTCTCATTTCCCCTTTTATGTAAATTGCTACCTGTCACTAGACCTGTTCAACGGGTCAGGCCGGGTTGGACAAGGCTTTATATGAGATGGGCTGGGCCGGGCCGGGTCAAGCCTAATCTAAAATGGGCTAAACTTGTCCATGGGCCATTAAGACAGGCCCGACCCAGCCCATTAAAAAATGTATAAGCAAAGTACAACAGTAGAAGTATATGCTAATATTCAACCTACCAAAACCTCCATATTTGTATTCTATTTTTGAGCTAAGTACGGAATACTATATCAATTTGGTACATAGGTTCAATTGGTTGGATCACATAGAAAAAGTCAATGGTTAAGTACGGAGTTTTCATTCTATTGATTGTAGATTTAGTGGCATTAGTGTACATAGAGGTGGTCACTATCTCAAAACATTAGCATGTTGGCATGTTCTCACAAAATCATACAAACATACCTTGGTAATCAATTGAGCGAAATCATATAATATTGAGCGAAATCGAACAAACAAACTAAACAAGCAAAGTGATCAAGCAGAATTGAGCGAAATCGAACAACATACCTTGGTAATCAATTGAGAGCGGCAAGCAAGAAGGTGATAAATTGAAGATTTAGAATTTGGGGATTTTTTAGGGTTCATAATTTGGGGAAATTGGGAATTTTTAAAATTGTCGTTAGAAAGTTTTAGAAACAAACAGAAAAATTAGGATAAAAAAGCCTTTTAAGTGTTACCCAATTTCAGCCCTTTTTAACTTAGACCCAACCCTTTAAAAACCCATTATTTAATAGCCCTTTAAAAGGCCACTCCATTTAAATGTTGGATGGGTAAAACCCTTTTATAAAAGGGCTGGACCAGGGCTTTCAATGGGCCCCTAACCCATTGAACGGGTCTACCTGTCACCTTAGATTATGTTCTTATGGTGAATCCAACGAGAATCTTTTGTTTTGAATCATATAATATGAATTGTACACAATGCATGATTTAAACTTCTAAATTTACATACATCCATTTTAAAACAATTATTGGCTTATATAATAAAGATATCTTTATCAATTAGTAAATCTATTAAAAAAAAAGTAAATCTAAAAATTAAACATTAAAACAAATTTAATACTCCCTCCGTTTCATATTACTCGCAACAAACGAAGGGAGTGCGGACTCCTATTCAAAAGATTGGATGATGATTAATTAAAGGAATGAGTTTCTAATTAAAGAGAGAGAATGTGGAGGGAAAGGTAGTGGTCCCAATTAAAGTAGTGGGAACATGTGATTATTTTTGGAATGAGTCTTCTTTTCCCTCCCTTTTTTTTTGTGGTTAATTCAATTTAGAAGGCAAACTTAAAGGTGTAAAAATTTTCCCTCCAAACTTTTCATGGAAATTTTAAAAATCCTTTCAAATTTCACAATATTTGAAACTTGCCAAATTTTCAACCAAAAGCTCTTTATAAAAGTCACATTTCTGATTCATTCACCCCTATTCATTCATAGCAAACGTTTGGGAATAGGGGGGGGGGGGAATCCAGCATTAATTACAGAAATTCAACACAAATTGTTTCCAAAAGTACAAAAACCATCATCAACACTAATTAATCCTAATTCCTAAATGCTGAGTTAGTTGCAGCAGCTGCCTTTGTACAGAATTAGGCTCCACTGAAAGCTTCCAAAAAAAATCAAGGCACTTCCACTTCATCACCTACCACCAGATCTGAAAAAAAAAGGGACTCATGGAAGAAATCTTTGATGATTTTTTTCGATATCAACCAACTGTTGATGGAGCAAGACATATGTTGACTCGAATGAATAATACAAGAGAGGGGGGGGGGGGAAATTGTATTGTAGAGGAACTAGGGTAATTTTTGCGGAATTCTTAAAGAAACTTAAACAAAACTTTAAAGTGCAAGAGAGATTTTACGTGGAAAACTTCTTGGCCCTAATCAAGAAGAAAAACCACGACCACAAGGGATTTTAATCACAACTCTTAATAATAATAGGGCAAACAACCTATTACAAATTAAGACTTCTAAACTCAAGTTCCTCTACGAACTTAAGTTCCCCTACGAACTTAAGTTCCCCCTCAACTGATCCCTCAATCAGTTGAGCTCTCGAATCTCTCTCTTTCTCCTTGCTTCACTCAAAGAAATTTCACACTCTAGAGTTTACCCAAACTATACCCCAATACAACTCAATATAAAACTACTAAGATGCTAAGTACAAAGACACTCAAGGACTTAAGTGGATTTTTGACTCTTTTAGGAAAGCTAAGAATCATAATGCTCAAGTGTTCTTTTCAAAACAGAAAACTAATCCTATTTATACAGGAGGAAAGCAGTTGAAAACCTTACGTTTTCCTTAGCTCCCACTATACCACAACTTCCATGAAATAAGGAAGTGTTGTTCGTGGATGCTTGGGCAACAAGCTGAAGCGCACAACAAGGAAGTGGTTCCTATATTTTCTCAACCTCCTTTACCAAGTAAAAGCCATTTGAAAAATAGTTTTACCAAGTCAGATTTTCCAAAATGTTAGGATAAAATCAGAACATAAAATCTTTTAAAAAATAAGATATTTTACTTAAAAGATATGTTTCCGAAATAAAATTAAATCTCTGTTAAAGAAAGGAAAAATAAAATCTTTATAAACTGAAATTAAATCCACTTAAATCCTATCAATTAACAATGTACTTAACATATATACAAGAAGCCTAAAATAAATAATAAAGATACAATAGACTCCTTGGAACACAGTGAAGCTTCGACTCTGGAGCTTCAGTTCCTCACTCAAGGAACTTGGCTTCTGATTGTCTTCTATGCTCGTCCATAGCTCATCCTTTAGACTTGTTCCATGCTCCATTCTAACTCTAGAACTTCGTTGCATATAAAACCTGCCAATACATCAAAGCTAATAGACAAAAGTTAAAGCCCCTATGGGTTTGCTTAGGTTCCTTGAGTCATCATCAAAACTTAAGATCAACAATATTCCCCCTTTTTGATGAATGACAAACCTAAGAAAACTCACAAAATAAAAAATTTGAAAGACAATCAGAAAACGAAAAATTTAAAACAAAAATGAACTAGCTAAATTTAAACAAGGAACTGAATGAAAGTTATAGTTATACCTTCTATTGTAAATGGATGGAGAGCTTGTCAACAATTGAGTTTGCCTTCTTTTCCCCCTTTTGGCGTTCATCAAAATTAATGCACACAAATATACATATCTAAACACAGCACCATTTTATTGGTTTGTGTCCAAAGCATAGAACAAAGCACATATAGGAAGAAATAGTATGCAAATAGTCATAAAGCAATCAAGCAACATCCATATAAACAAACTGATGTTCCTCCAGAACATCAAAAGCAAAAGAAAATACCCTGTTTAATTGTTTACAGACCAAAAGAAGCAAAATAAAACAAGTTCAAGTTAGATCAAGTTCAAAAAAACTAAAGTTTTAGAGCTAAGACAGAAGGAAAACATCAAGCTTTAGGGGCAGAGGATTGGGTCTCTTCTTCAGCATCATTCGCTGGCACCTCTTCAATGATCAAGTCCTCCAATTTCTTCAACAAGTCAGCCTGCCCTTTGGAAAGAGTTGATGTGTTCTGATGCATTGCTGAGGTGAGCTCTGTGGAAGCTTTCACCAAGTCTGACACTACCTCCTCAAGAGCTTCAATCCTTTGAATCAACCCTGGTTGAGTATCAACTAGCTTTTGCACTGTCTCCTTGAGAGCCTTAAGTTCCAAGGTGGAACTCACTGTGTTGAAACTAGCAAAACCTGACCCTGTAGGAAATGTTTTTTCAACAGAAGCTTGAAGGATGCCCTGTTCCCCCTGAGAACCAGTTTTCTCTTCAAGGATCCCTTGATCCCCAGGTGCACTGTTTCTCTCTTCGCTCAGATCAACCACTGCGGCAGACTCAGCCTTGTCCTTCCCTCTTGGCCTAATATCCAACCTAGTACTCTGTCTCTTCCCAGAGCTTTGAGTACTCTTTTGGTTTGGCACTACAATCACCTCTTTCTTTTTATGTTCACCTTATTTCTCACTTTTCTCTCCCTCCAACCATTTATCCAACTCTTCATCCTCCTTTTTCTTCAAACTACTCTCATCCTGTTTAGGTTTAGAGATGGATTTTGAGAGAAATTGAGTAGTTCCTTCAACAACAATTAGGTTTCGGGCTTCAAGAGTTTTGGGTTGGACATAATGGTTTGTTTTAAGCTTAAGGGATTCATAGTTAGTCATGGAAATTCCACAACTTTCAAGAAGAGTGATTATCAAATTTGCATACCCAACCTTTAGATGATTGGAAAGACAATGAGTGAGGTGCTGAATCATCAAAGATGGAAAATTTATCTGTATTTTGTTTTCAAGGAAATACATAAGCACGACATCAAGGTGATTAGCCTCATGTCTATGCTGGGTTCTTGGAATGATGGCTAGGTGAACAAAAATAAACAA